GAGTAGCTGGGACTACAGGCATGTGTCACCATGCCCGGCTAATTTTTTCTGTATATTTTTAGTTGTTTGGCCAATTTCTTTCTATATTTAGTAGAGACGGGGTCTCGCTCTTGCTCAGGCTGGTTGTCATAATATCTAATCACTCAATCATAACATTTAATCACTCAAGACTTGCATAGTATTTTCATATCTACTGCCTGGTACCAGAATGTTAGCTCCATGACGGCAAAGATTTTTGTTCTTTTTGTTCACTACTGTATCTTCAGTGCTTAGAATGGACCTTGGTACATAGTAGGTGCTCAATAAATAGTACTGAATAAGTAACCATATTTAATGAATATTATTGATATTTAATCATCACAACAATCCTGTGAGCATAGGTACTACATAAATTATCTCCATTTTGTAAGTTAGAAAACAAGCTGGGCACAGTGGCTCACTCCTGTAATCCCAGCTACTTAGGAGGCAGAGGTGGGAGGGTCCTTGAGCCCATGAAGCCTGGGCAACATAATGGGATTCTGTCTCTAAAAAAACAAACAAAAAATAAAAAACAGAGACTTAAGGAGATTAAGGAACATGCCAAATAGTTGATAATTTGGTGACAGAATCATGATTTAATTTCAGGTTTTGACCTTCAATTCTCTTGCTTTTCCACTTTTTTACAACTGAAAAACTAGAGTTTAAAGTTATTATAGCTCTGAAACACCAGACGAAAGTATTCTAAAATACAGGATAGGTACTATCAGACACCCTATGTTATCTGATTGCCAGCTTATAAGGTGAATGAGGCCTACCCAGTTGCCATTGCATCAATAACCACAGTTCTCTTAAAGGAGGAGATGCATTGTTCTTCTGGGTAATCAAATCTACTTGACACAAGACTACTTTGTACTCACGTTTCTCACCATGACCCTGTCTGTCTGTCTCTACTCCACACCCTAGCCATTCCACTTCTCCAAGCAAAAGAAGTTAAGGAAACCCTATTATTGCAAAAACATATGTTCTAATATTTTTTATAGGAAACAAGAAAAGAAAGAAGAAAGAAACATGGCAGTGAGTAGTTTTAGTGCCCTTCAAAAATCTTTGTCATCCAAATAGAATCCCATGGGGAGGCTAAAAAACATAATATTCCATGAAAAGTTAATTTTGGTGTCTTTTTAATATTAATTAAAATTACTGATTTGAAGC